ATTTTTGAAAACATTTATTTGAGGTTTTATTGAAGGATTGAGACTTGTATTACAGAGTAATGAAGACGGATCGCTGGATCAGAACAAGACTGAATACGCAAACCACCAAAAATGAGCTGATAGATGATCTATGTCAAATAAATGTAGTACCTATATATGATTAATAAATGGAAAGCAGAGGAAACAAGTTAATCTGTAGCAGGAATCAGTAAATATTCAGTACAACCCCTCAAAGATAGACAGAGGAGGGGTACCCTGCTCCAGATAAATCTCCTGCGTATGGTTTTAGACCACTATATCTGAGTTCTCTCTCAGCATCAGATAACGTATTGTGAGCCCCCTCGCTTCATTTTCAAACTTAGTTGTTTTTTTTCTCCAATCTAAATTTTAAAGAAACACTATAGAGTTAGAGTTACAAATCTGTATTCCTAACGCTATATTCTCCCTGTCCATAACTAATTAAATGTCCCCCAGTTTGAGTACTTTTATTTAAAAACATATATATATTCTAGTCACTTTCTCTCCTATCCCGAGTCTCTCTCGGTGCTGCTTCATGCTCCTCCTCTTGTGATGTCACAGACGCAAGAGTGGTGTTCTCCACAATCTGCCGTTGATTCTGCCATAGAAAATCTTTGCATGTAGTGATAGACTGTGACACCACATGGTATGTCAGGGTATGAGAGCCAGGATGTAACAATCTTGGATCTCCAATCCCAGGGCTTGGAGGCGTGGTTTGAAGCCACCCTTCTAAGCCCACAAACTTCTAAAATAAAGTGAAGGGCAGAACTGTTTTAGGCACCATAACAACGTCAATTAGATGATGTTGTTATAATGAGTACAGTGTTTATTTAATTTACATTAAAGAAAAAAAACAGGATTTCTAGGAAAATGATTTATTTTTCAAGAAAATATTAATGTACTAAAAGTATATTTTAAATATCTGCCTAGACAGCAGAGTTAATATTCCGTAACATATTTAGGTAAGGGGTTGACTTACTAGGTATCTTTCATCACCATTGACACAAAAGAATTACGACAGGTTTACAAAAAACGATCATCACTTGCTGGGTTTTCCAATGGATTTTTTAATATACACAATATTCTCTTTATGTGTTTTTTACAGTAGATAACTCCTATATGTCAAATGCTTTTTACGGCGCTTTACGGCACTGTTCTAAACTAATACATCCATTTACTGGTATCTACTCTACTGATGTTTACAATAAACCATTCCAGATAGTTGCTTGGGTTTGACTTCTGGTTCATAGAATGCTGCTGCCAGGCTGATCTTTCATTCCTTTCGCTCCCCTCACACCTAACCCCTCTGTCGATCCTTACACTGGCTTCCAGGTGTCAATTCAAAATACTAACCCTTATGTATAAAGCTCTAACCAACTCTAGTCCCTCTTACATTTCTTCACTGATTCATAGATATGCCCCCTCTCGGTCTGTCTGCTCTACTGGTGACCTTCTCCTGTCTGCTGCTCGCACCCTTAATGCAAATTTCTGCCTGTAGGACTTCTCGCAGGCGGCTCCTATCCTTTGAAACAGTCTGCCTACCCCTGTCAGACTCTGCCCTAGTCTTCAATCCTTTGAGAAGTCCCCCAAAACCCATCTTTTCTGAAATGCTTATGGCTTCCCAGAATAACTTCTCTCTCACAAACCTGCCTCTTGATCTCTCCTAAAGGGCCACACTCCACTCTCACCTCCAGTTCTGCTACTTTCCCAACATGTGTAATTGCTGTCTCCCTCAATACCCTTCCTATCGTGTTCTATGCCCCACCTGCTAGAGACTGTAAGCTCGTTTGAGCAGGGTCCTCATCCACCAATTGTTCGTGTAACTTTTTGTTATTGCCTCATTTGTTAAACTCCCCTTTTAATCTAAAGCGCTGCGGAATAAGCTTGTGTTATATAAATACCAATAATAATAATTATAATAATAATATATGTCTTCATACCATTAAAGGGAAACTGTAGGCACTGAAACCATCTCATCTCATTATGGCCTCAATCTAACATTTTAGATAAGCTTTTCAAATGATTTAATATTGTTGAACAATTTTTTTCCCCCCATAATATTACATTATCAAAATATAACACATAGAAAAAAATCTAAATATTAAAATATTTTTGGAAATGTAAAATCATTTGGAAAGCTTATCCACAAAAATATTAAACTGAGGTCTTTATTGGTTATAGTGACTGGAGACGCCTGGCACTTTACCTCCATTCAGTGTTAAATCATTTTCAAGCTTCCCATAGCCCCACCCACAATGGAGATATGGCTAAGGCTGAGAACACACACTTCCTATTTCATACGAGCAATGGGCAGCTGTGATGGGCTGAAAGCAGGCAACTGATGTTCTCCTCCAATCTATTACCCATTGCTATCACCTATTGCTATTACCCATTGCTGCTCAAGCTAACCATTAATAATGGTTTTATCCTAAATGGAATGACATCATCAAGGGCTTCCAGACACTATAACCACTTCAATGAGATAAAGCAGTTACGGTGCCTATTTCCCATTGGTGGTCCTTCAAGGCGGGTTTAATAACTACGCACACTCGCATGTCATTTATACTCTCAGGTTTAGTTCACATAATAGCTGGGGATTTAGTGAGCTGGGGATTTACAGTCAAAATGATAGTGTATATCAGTGGCGGCGAACCTTTTTGAGCCCGAGTGCCCAAACCGCAATACATGCCAACTTTTATTTCCTCAAAGTTCCAACACGGCAATTAAACCTGAATACTGAGGTTTAAGTTTAGAAAAAACAATCCGTACAGTTGTCCGAACTAATTAACAACTTTTGTTTTAAAAGAAGAACAACAGAGAGTTAAATGATACAAATTTTAAATAATGATATAAATAGATAAAATTCAGCTTATATTTATTAGTATCTCCAACAAATGAAATACACACACACACAGACTGCTGAATACATTCACACACAGACTGCTGAATACACATACTGCTGGATACAGACACAGTCTGCTGAATACATACACACAGACTGCTGAATACACATACAGACAGACTGCTGAGTACACATACTGCTGGATACAGACACAGTCTGCTGAATACACATACAGACAGACTGCTGAGTACACATACTGCTGGATACACACACAGTCTGCTGAATACATACACACAGACTGCTGAATACATACACACAGACTGCTGAATACACATACAGACAGACTGCTGAGTACACACACTGCTGGATACACACACAGTCTGCTGAATACATACACACAGACTGCTGAGTACACATACTGCTGGATGCACACACAGTCTGCTGAATACATACACACAGACTGCTGAATACATACACACAGACTGCTGAATACACATACAGACAGACTGCTGAGTACACATACTGCTGGATACACACACAGTCTGCTGAATACATACACACAGACTGCTGAATACATACACACACACACAGTCTGCTGAATACACACACACAGCCTGCTTAATACAGACACCCAGTCTGCTGAATACAGACACGCAGTCTGCTGAATACACGCACATACAGACTGCTGAATACACACACACATACTGTGTGATGCAGTGTATGTGTGTGGGGTGCTTTGTGTGAGGGGTGCTGTGTGTCTGTGTGAGGGGTGCTGTGTGTGTGTGTTTGAGGGGTGCTGTGTGTGTATGTGTGTGTGTGTGAGGGGTGCTGTGTGTGTGTGGTTGAGGTGTTGTGTGTGTGGGGAAGTAGGGGTGCTGTGCTGTGTGGGAAGGTAGGTGTGCTGTGCTGTGTGGAGGGTAGGGGTGCTGTGCTGTGGGGGGGGTGCTGTACTGTGGGGGTAGGGGTGCTGTGTGTGTGTTGGGGTAGGGGTGCTGTGTGTGTGTGGGGGGTAGGGTTACTGTGTATGTGTGGGGGGTAGGGGTGCTGTGTGTGTGGGAGTAGGGGTGATGTGTGTGTGTGTAGGGGGGTAGGGATGCTGTGTGTGTAGGGGGTAGGGATGCTGTGTGTGTGTGGGCAGGGGCGGACTGAGAGCCTTTGGGGCCCCCGGGCAAAATTAGATCCCAGGCCCTCTGAAGGCCAAATATATGTGCATTAAATAAATGTTAAATATAATTCATAATACGGCATTCCTTTGGATGTGTGTATTGTGAAGACCTGTGTATCAATGCATGTTTGTATTTGAGTCTGTGTGAATGCACTTGTGCATGTCTGGATGACTAAATGTGCTTTTTTGTATATAGGGTCAGTGTGAATGCATATGACAAGTGACAGAGTGTGTGAGGGAGAAGGTGACAGGTGGAAGAGTGTGGGAGGTTGTGACAGGTGGCAGAGTGAGGGAGGGGTTGAGTGGTGGCAGAGTGAGGGGGAGACAGTGAGTGGGTGTGACTGGTGACAGAGTGAGGGAGTGGGTGACTAGTGACAGAGGGAGGGAGATAGGGGTGACTAGTGACAGAGTGAGGGAATGGGTGACTAGTGGCAGAGTGAGGGAGGGAAGAGATGACTAGTGGCAGAGTGAGGGAGGGAAGAGATGACTAGTGGCAAAGTGAGGGAGGGAAGGGGTGACTAGTGACAGAGTGAGGGGGGGTGACTGTCACTAGTCACCCCATCCCTCTCTCTGTCACTAGTCACTCCCTCCCTAACTCTGTCACTGTGTCACCCGCTCCCTCACTCTGTCACTGTGTCACCCGCTCCCTCACTCTGTCACTGTGTCACCCGCTCCCTCTCTCTGTCACTAGTCACCCCATCCCTCTCTCTGTCACTAGTCACCCCATCCCTCTCTCTGTCACTGTGAAGGAAGGAAGGGGTGACTGGTGACAGAGTGAGGGAAGGGATGACTAGTGGCAGAGTGAGGGAAGGAAGGGATGACTGGTGACAGAGTGAGAGAGGGGGTGACAGAGTGAAAGAGGGGGTGACTGTCACTAGTCACCCCATCCCTCTCTCTGTCACTAGTCACCCCTCCCTAACTCTGTCACTAGTCACCCCCTCTCTCACTCTGTCACTCCCTCACTCTGTCACTAGAGTGAGGGGGTGACTAGTGACAGAGTGAGGGAAAGGGTGACTAGTGGCAGAGTGAGGGAAGGAAGGGGTGACTAGTGACAGAGTGAGGGAGGTGGTGACTGTCACTAGTCACCACCTCCCTCACTCTGTCACTAGTCACCACCTCCCTCTGTCACTACTCCCTCCCTCCTTCTGTCACTAGTCACCCCCTCCCTCACTGTGTCACTAGTCACCCCCTCACTCTGTCACTAGTCACCCCCTCACTCTAGTGACAGAGTGAGGGACGGGGTGACTAGTGACAGAGTGAGAGAGAGGGTGACTAGTGACAGAGTGAGGAAGGGGGTGACACAGTGACAGAGTGAGGGGGGGTGACTGGTGACAGTGGGGGGGGTGACTGGTGACAGTGAGGGGGGGGTGACTGGTGACAGTGAGGGGGGGTGACTAGTGATGCTGGCGGGGGGGGGTGACAGTGAGGATGGGGTGATCAGTGACGGGTGGGGGGACTAGGACAGTGAGGGGGCATCAGCATGAGGGGGGGTGACTGGTGAGACAGTGAGGGGTGGGGTGACTGGTGACAGTGGGAGGGGGGGGTGACTGGTGACAGTGAGGGGTGACTGGTGACAGTGAGGGGGTGACTAGTGACAGAGTGAGGGGGGGTGACAGTGAGGATGGGTGACTAGTGACAGTGGGGGGGGTGACTAGTGACAGTGAGGGGGTGACTAGTGACAGTGAGGGGGGGTGATTGGTGACAGTGAGGGTGGGTGACTGGTGACAGTGAGGGGGGGGGGGTGATTGGTGCCTACCTGTCTCTCTGCTTCCTCTCCCAGGCTGCAGCTCCTTCCCCTCCTGGCTCTGTGTGAAAGGAGTAAACAGGAAGTGAGGTCACTTCCTGGCCCCGCCTCTCCCATCACACAGAGCCGCATGGGAGAGGAAGCGGAGACCTGGCAGGGAGGAGGTGAAGCTGCCAGGTCTCATGGGGAAAGGGGGGGAGTGTGAATAGCAGAGCGGTAGATTGTGGGGGCCCCGCGCTGCATCAGGGGCCCCACAACCTATCAATGAAAACGTTTTATTTTATTATTTTTTGCCGTTCCAGTTGGAGAGATCTCTGATCTCTCCAGCTGGAACAAGGCTGTGCTGCCGGGCCCCTGACTGCCTCGGGCCCTCGGTCCGTGACCGATATGCCCGAGTGGTCAGTCCGCCCCTGTGTGTGGGGGTAGGGGTGCTGGGTGTGGGGGTTAAGGGTGCTGGTTGTGGGGAAGGGGAGGGGTGATGGTTGTGGGGGGTAGGGGTACTGTGTGTGTGGAGGGGTAGGGGTACTGGTTGTGGGGGTAAGATAACTGTGTGAGGGGGTAGGGGTGTTGTTTGGGGGGAGGGGGTGGTAAAAAAGAAAAAGATATGCTAAATCTGTATCCCCCCCTCCCTCCTACTTACCTTTGATGAAGGAGGGGGGACACAGCCATCCCTGGTGGTCCGGTGGTGGTAGGTACTGTAGAGAGCAGCTCCCCTGTCCTCCCGTGCGATGCTGTGTGGAGCATTGCCATGGTAACATGTGGCAACGCTCCACACAGATTGCTCGCGGGAGGACAGGGAAGCTGCTTCACAGATCCCTCTCCCTGCCTCCCGACACTGTGTGTGCCATTTTAGGCAAGCAGGTGCCTACTCTGCATTGATGGTGAACCTATGGCCGCGTGCCAACAGAGAGGGCCAGACGTGCCATAGATTCGCCATCACTGATGTATATTATAAATTTCGAAAATCTTGTGGGACAGGAATGAGGCAGTGTGGGAGCTGGAGGAGTGGGTAGAATGGGTTGGAAGAGAGGCAAAGGGCAGGTTATGAGTTAGCAAAGGAAAAGCATGGTAGGAGCTCAGTCAAGTAAATCTCTTTCCTACAACTCCCTAACTTGTCTGCCTCCACAGACCATGAGTTTGGTTGTGAGCAACAAACCATCATCCAAACAATGTACCCAGAAATAAATCACCTCTACCGGTATTTTGAAGGAGCGTTAATTAGTTAATGTCAGGGTTATTTGCTACAAGCGCTTCCACTGCAACAACCGAGTAAAACTTGGTCATGTGACACGGAAGCTCCTAGGAAAGTATTGCATAATTGCTTCCTATAGGGAAGCTTGGATGGTCGCATGTAGCTATCCACACATAAGCATTAGATCCCTCGTAGATTTGACCATTACTGGAGGAAGCCATGACTCCTCCCTGACATTGCAGGAGGCAGAATGGCAAGCAGGACCAAGGGAGTCTCAGCTCTGCAAAAAGTGGATTAAAACCTTTATATATATATATATATATGCAAATGGAGGGGAAGGGACAGTTTTGTATTCCTAACACTATAGTGTTCCTTTAAAGGGACTCTGTAACGCATTTGCTAATTAGTAATGCCCAACATGATTTTTTTTTTTTATCTTTTCTCCCATGTTTCTTTGTTTTTTATTAAAAATAATGCTCATCATTCATTTTCATTCAGTGACATTAGCATTATAGTGTGGACTGGATGGATTGGGGGTGAAACATGTTAATGTGACTGAATGACTTGGAGAGTTAATTATGGATGATGAGTATTATTTAAAAAAAAAACAGAGGAAATAAGATTTAGTCATTCAGTCATATTAGCATCAGCCCCATCCAGTCCACAATACAATAACTGAGGGGGGGAATGTAAGTGGGACTTTAAGAGTCCTGTGCCATCTCTGTCCCCAAACAGTTTGCCGGTGCTATCTGTGTCCCCAAACAGCAGGGGGGTTATGCATGAGGGGATAATATAAAATGTCCTTTTTATGTATACTCTATATAGTGTGATTTTCAATTGTGTTTAAAAATGCAATTTCCCTTTTCTGAAATAATAAAGGTGGAATGCTACGGGCCTGGCATAATGATGATTTAAGTTGCAGTGTAAATTTATCATTAAAATAGGCATTGGGCGTTGACGCCACACAGCACAGACAAGACGGAAAAACCCTGACAGCTTCTGGTCTTGTCATAAATTTAAGAGGTCTGAGCGGATAAAATTGCAGTTTTATTTCCATGTTTTTTTCTATGTGAAATACGGTTGCAGGGGAAAATCCTAGGGTTGCAGTTTGGGTGCTCTTGATCTCTAGAGTTACCATATTTCTTTAAAAGACTTCTCTTTCATAAAAAAAGCTGGTTTCAAGGTGTATATGCAAGACATAAATGCTAGCATGTCCATGAAAATTCCAACCCTGAATGATCTAGGTGTGAAAACTGTAATAAAATGGCATAATCTGCCATGCTTTGGGTTTTGTCCATAAAGAATAGCATATATCTATAGCATATATGTGTATAAATAGGTATGTGATATACAGTGCCCTCCACTAATGTTGACACTCTTGGTAAATATGACTCATGGATATCAAACAATTGCAAACACAACACAGGTATTTCCAGAAATAAAACATATTTGTTAGATATATGTGTGACACAATTATTGGCACCCTTTTAGTCAATACTTTGTGCTATTTCCGTTTGCCAAGATAACAGATCTGAGTTGTCTCCTGTAATCTATGATGAGGTTGGAGAATACAAGGCAAAGGAACTGGGACCATTCCTTCATACAGGGACTCTCCAGATCCTTCAAATGCCGAGGTTGGAGCTAGTAGACTCTCCTCTTCAGTTCATCCCACAGGTTTTCTGTAGGGTTCAAGTCACGTGACTGGGCCGGCCATGGCAGGACCTTGATTTTGTGGTCAGTAAACCTAGTGAAAGAATTAACCAAGTCCCATTTTAAGCTTTCTGACAGAGTTAGTCGGGTGTTCATTTAATATCTGTCGATATTTGATAAAGTACATGATAAGAAAATGGGCAGACAAACAGCCCAAAAACATTAAAGAGCCACTACCACCTCTGTGTGTGTGTGCCAAACCCACCTCTAGTGTTTATTGCCAAAAAGCTCTATTTTTGTTTCAGCTGACCATAGAACTCAATCCCATTTGTTCCAGTAGTGTCTGGCAAACTGAAGATGCTTGAGTTTTTTTTGGATGAGAGCAGAGACTTTGTTCTTGAAACCCTTCCGAACAACTTGTGCTGATGTAGTGACATTGTATTGTAGATTTGGAGACTTTCTGGCACCAAGACACAATTCTTCTGCAGTTTAATTAATTAAGTTCTGTTATTCACCAGTTGTGATCCTTGGAGATTTTTTTGCCACTCAAGCCATCCTGTCCACACTGTGTAGAGACAATGTAGTCTCACCTTCTCTACCAAGTTCATAACATTTACAGTTGACTGGAACATCTTAATTATTGCCCTGATTATAGAAATGGGCTTTTTCAATGCTTCTGCTATTTTCTTATAACCGCTTCCCATGTTGTGAAGTTCAACAACCTATTGCTGCACATCACAACTATATTCATTGGTCTTATTCACTGCAGTGAATGGCTAAGGGGATTTGGCATTTGTATTACCTCATATTTATACCCCTGTGAAACAGTAAGTCATGATTGAACAATTTCCTGTTCCTAGTTACCCTGGTGTACAAAAAAATGTAAAATATAAATGAAATTATATTTCAAATAACCAGCAAAAAGAAGGCAATTTGAAAATGAGGAAGTGGACATGACTGCTGACCCAACCAGTCCCCCAACCAATAAACCCGTTGCCCCCCAAATAATACACGTGACACTTTCTTCTTGTGGATAAGGGCAACGGCCACAGCTTTATTTAACATAATAATTTTAACTTAGTCCAACTCTGCCAGCTGTTGGGTGTTTCCCAACAGGCAGTTCTCCCAACTTCTATACCATGAGCCTCGACAGCCGGCTCCTCACCATCAGCTCCGTGCAGGCTGTCGTCTCCCCAAAGCTCCTTTTTTCCTCTGCGCTGTCCAGGGAAACCCACCAAGCTGTGACAACACAAAACAAGACACAAGCCACAACACCAGAAACAGGGTGGGAGGGTGGGAAAACAGCCAGGAGCCCTCACTGAACCTGCTGACTGGTAAGTCCCCTCCCTCTCCCTTTCCTTAAGAACCACAAATGTATCCATTTTAACCCGGCCCCCAATCTTGGGCAGCAGTCATGCTCCCCCTTCCTTATTCTTCCAGGGGGAAACTTGACTGCTGACCCAACCAGTCCCCCAACCAATAAACCCGTTGCCCCCCAAATAATACACGTGACACTTTCTTCTTGTGGATGAGGGCAACGGCCACAGCTTTATTTAACATAATAATTTTAACTTACTCCAACTCTGCCAGCTGTTGGGTGTTTCCCAACAGGCAGTTCTCCCAACTTCTAT